CTCTCTCTCTCTCTCTCTCTCTCTCTCTCTCTCTCTCTCTCTCTCTCTCTCTCTCTCTCTCTCTCTCTCTCTGTATTTCTCTCTGAGCCTATCTTCACCCCCCCCCCCACTCCACCACCACCCCCCCTCTCTCTCTCTCTCTCTCTCTCTCCCTCTCTCTCTCTCTCTCTCTCTCTCTCTCTCTCTCTCTCTCTCTCTCTCTCTCTCTCTCTCATATAATCTGTTCAAAGTAGTTGCAGCGACAAATGCGGGATGTGTACGACAGAGTCATTCGAAGACCTGTTTTTATTTTGTTGAAAGTGTAATCTGGTAGGCTTTCGGCTATCGAAAAAGGTCATCTTTTATTTCCGTGGTTAGGCCTACATTCCCAAATCTCTTTTCAACAACGTCATCAGTTTCGATTGCTCGGCGTGCGGCACAGTATGCAGTATTTCGGTTGATTTTCAACTGTTTAGCGAGCATTATGTAATCGTCACCTCGCAGAAAGGTTTCTCGTATACCGGTATTCTCTGTTAATCCCTGGGACTGACAATTTGTATTATTTGAATTTTTGTCAGGCATGTTGTTGACTTGTTGTGTCTAGCTTCCTGGAAAGATCTGTTACAACGATCGAAGTGTTGGATCTAACAAAACGAGAGGACGGTGACGGTTAAATCTAATCTAGATCTAGATCTAGATCAAGATAATTCTAATCTAGATTCTAGATCTAGAATCTAGATCTAGATCTAGATTAGATGTAGAATCTAGATATAGGTCTAGATCTAAATCTAGACAACTGAAGGAGAGAGACGAGAACAGTAAACAACGAATGTAGCTAAGAGACAGATTATAATTTTTATTGCTGCATTTGAACTCGCTTTTCGAATAAATTATCGGGAAAAAGTGTGGGATCTAGATCTAGATTAGATCTAGAGAGCAGACGGTGAGTATTGAAAGCCAGAGACTTGCACAGTAAACAACGAGCGTTGCTAAGAGACAGGGTAGCTTCCCCTGACTCGGAGACGATGGTTACGTCATAGCTTCGTAGTTTTTCGCATAATTGAATTTGAATTTTCCTATGCTGCATTTGAACTGACAAAGATGAATTTGATCTCCCTAATGTTTCATTTGAGCTCTCCGGTGATTACATTTGAGCTGACGTTTGCTTACGTTTTTCATTGTGTTGAGTTTGAACTCTCTGTGTTGAATTAATTTGCCTATTTTGATA